GGAGGTGCTGGCATGGGAAGAGAGAGCGTGCAGAAGAGGCCAGCGTTAATAACGGCACAGGTATACCCACGGTCGATGCCCTCTCAGTGACGGCCACGGTGGTGTTCCGAAACGGCCAAGGGCAAAACTAGTTAGGCGTTGAGCAAAACTTTTGTTTTTGACCAAAAATGAAGGGGATAGGGCTGATTTCACCTTCTTAGGACGTGTTTTGCGATGTTCCAGTGTGTAACGGCAGTAGGGAAAAAGCCATTTTGCAGGGCTGGTTGTGGGAGGCTGGGGATGGAGCCCCTGGGGCGCTCAGAAGATTTCTTCCTCGGGTATGACGGTTTTAGTGCCTCTGCCTCGGAGGTGGCAGGTTTCACAAACACATCTGGAAGGCTGCATCAGTCTTTCCTGGCAGGAAAACGGTACCTCAGCAAACCTTGACTGAGCTCCCTCGAAAACCTGCCCCTTCTCAATTTCAGCCCCGCGTGAGCTGGAGTCAGAGCAAGGACACGCGGAGCCGAGCCTGCGGGAGCCGGGCGCAGACACCTTCCCCCACAGCCGCTCCGCTCCCTCCTGTCTCGCCGTTCCCCCTGACCTGTCCATCGCCGTCTGACCTGTCCACATAGCTGTTTCTTATCCTAATTTAATCAATGCGATCCTGTTTGGCTTAAATGCCTTTTTTTTTTTTTTTTAAATCCTGGACCATGTTGCTGGGGTCTTGGGAGAGGTTAGTCGATACTCGACCGGGTGATGGTCCTGGCAGAGCTGGGAAGGCAGTAGCCTCAGGCGGGAGGCAGTGATTAATGACTTCTAGATGTCCACATGCCTGTGGCTCCCCAGCCTGCTGGAGTGGCCAGAAAGCAACACTCAAGCTCTGCTTTTTGGTAGTTTGCTTTTTTTTTTTTTTAATGCTGTCCCGAGACCCCCATGCACGCATCTGCTGTGCTGCGGGGAGGCGAGATCGGGGCGCGCGCGGGCGGCAGCGGAGGTGGCCTGGCCAGGGCATCTCTGCACCAAGCAGCTGAGATTTCTCTGCCGCGAGGACAGCATCTGCAGAGAGGTGCGGGCAGCACCTGCCTGCAGGGGACGAGTCTGCCTCTGCGCCGGCTGCGCGCTTCGCCTTGGGTTGGAGCCCGC